TCTATTGTTTTGAGTATACAATCAACTTTTATAAAAATATCCTGCACTATAGAGTGAGTAAATAAGGAAAATAATGTTTGCATCATTATGGCAACAACAACAAAAAATGGCCTGGAATGAATTCTGCTCAGGACAATGAACCATTAATATGAAGATGATAAAACTGGATTTTGGGGAAATATATTGTGGAGATGTCAACCATATTGATCTATCACAGGCTGGGGTCTAATGGCCAACTTCTGTAGTAATAATGATGAGTTGTGAAATTTCATAAAGCAGGAAAGTTAATTTTGTAACCAGTCATTCATAGTTATTTGTTAATAGAAGCAGACAGGCTTGATGGTAAAACAGACATCTTTTTGTAAGTTACAGCTTTCATATTTAAAAACTCTAAATAAACTTGAAGTTGAATGAATTTCTAACAGAAATGTTAGCGTGTAACTGGTCACATCATTAATGAAAATATTATTCTATGTAACCAAACTTATTTAGCACTGTACTTTAAATTAGATTGAAAAGGTCAGTTAATATAGTGATCAGTGGTTTACAGCTTACTTATCTTTTCCATTTATGATTGCCTACTTATTAAACAATAAAACACAAATGTAAATAAACAAAAAAATGAAACCAGTCAGTAGTGGTGTCTCAAAGTGCATATTGAAAGTCTTTATGTTGGAAACCCTGTCTAGAAACCCAGGATCCAGCCCAGATCATTTCACCCTGCTGCTTGTTCAATAACTGATGCAGAATTGTATATTGCAGATGACTCATATTTGCGGACAGACACCAAACCTCCGAAGCTAGGAAAAGGTTAGATATGTGTTATGTGTGCTTATTTCTTGCACTTGCTTTCATTTCTTTGTGTTTTATTCTGTGTGTTAATAGTCCAGGTTCACAAGAAACTGTGTGTATTCATGTTTTATTTTTATGTGCTTATGAATATATGAGTTATTCATATACCCATGTCTTAAGAAAATACCTTCCTAGCACTCTGAAGGAATTTCAGAGAAACTTTTGAACCAGAGCATGGCCTAACATGATCAAAAGACATGCACAGTGTTTTCATTTTCACACAGAGTCATTGCCATTTAAATATATGTATAATAACTAACTAACTAGATGGCTTAACGAACCAGAAGGTTCATCACCAAATTAACCAAAGCCCTCCACCGGACCCTGTCCTGGGCCAACAAAATCCAGTCTCCTTGAACTCCTGTCTCCCATAGATCCCGCCTGACGTTATCCTCCCATCTACATCTAGGTCTCCCCAGCAGTCTCTTCCCCTCAGGCTTCCCAACCAATACCAAGTGCACACCTCTTGTCCCATCCATGTGCGCTACATGCCCCGCCAATCTCATTCTTCTCGACTTAATCACCCTGACAATACTGGGGGAGGAGTACAGATTTTTAAGTTCGTCATTATGCAGTTTTCTCCATGCCCCATCGTCTTCTCTCCTAGGCCCAAATATCCTCCTCAACACCCTGTTCTCAAACACCTGCAATCTGTGTTCCTCCCTCAGAGTGAGAGACCATGTTTCACACCCATACAAAACAACAGGCAAGATTATTGTTTTGTATACTTTAATTTTCAGGTTCTTAGAAATCAGGTGGGAAGACAAAATATTTTGAACTCGGAAGTAGCAAGCATTTCCAGAATTAGTTGACATAATACTGTCACTTTGTGTACTTGAAATGTTTAGGTTATGTAAGGTGCACTAATAAATAATAGTATTACCAAGCAGTGAATTAGAATATCAGTTGAACTTTTAAATGTTAGAACAGACTCGGAAGGCCTCCTCACTACCAGCATAAGAGACACAGATACATAAACTTGTGCACATCATATGGAAATTTAATTTTTACTTCAGTTGGTTAAATTTCCCAATGCCTGGCTGTGGGGAGGAGCTATGCTGCAGTAATATAATTTTGTGTCATTTATGACATGGTGAAGCTTTTGTGGCGACTGAAGTCGATGAAGGATTCTTTGGTTAGAAGCCGCATCAGGTGGCTGAATGGAAATTAAACCATATCTTCTGCCAATGTTTCGAGAACAGTCTCTGCTCTCATCCTCAGGGCTGCTGCGTAACAAATCTCACTCGCTGATGGTAAACTGGTGGTGGACAGCAGGTAGTAAGATGTTGCTGGTAGCTGTCCACCGCCAGTTTATTATCAGCGAGCGTGCGACAATGGAAAAAATTTGTTACCCAGCAGCCCTGAGGATGAGAGCAGAGATTGTTTTTGAAACGGCAGGAGATATGGTTTATTCACTGTTCAGCCACCTGATGCGGCTTGTAATCCGAGAATCCTTCATCAGTGGTATGAATGTGCTTGAACTTCTTTTCATTGGTGTTCAGTTTACAGCATCATTTTTACTCCATTATAATGAAAATATGAAAGATTAATTTTGAAGCTGTGTTTCGTTGAATTATACAGGTTATGTATATATTCTGAATGCCATTAATTTTCAGCTGAATTGAATATGCAGTACTGATTAGACTATTTTATATCATCATACTCTAGATTTTTTATTCCACCGCACTGCGGTCTAATTTTACAAATACTGTAACTTTAACTAGGCTTCATATTATAAGCGAATATGTTTTGATAAGTGTTTGTCCAGCAATGATTAGCTTTACAAATGTTATACCCATACCTTGTCTAAAGGGTATTGTTTTCAGTGCAGGGAATTTTATTTTTCAAATTTAAATAGCATAGAAAACTTATGCACTGTTTTTCTGATAGAAACTTTAAACTGTTTTATAATGTAACATATTTGAAAGAGTTAAAGGTTAATGTGTACATAGGATTTAAACATATGGACAGAACAAAATCTTTGTTTTATATTATCACAGTGACAAGTTTTAGAAGTGGTAAGTATGGATGGATGTTACTATAATAGCATAAATGACAACACACCATGGAAATTTATTGTTTAAAGTTTCATTTTTGATGAGTAATGGTACTTTTGAAATAGTCAGAAAGGCCAGAAATTCATTTAGAACCCTGAGAAAGACTGTTCTTGTTTTGTGTAGTTTGTTGGCAGGCATACATGGTTTAGCTCTGCAGCCATAAAATGTGTAGAATTTTGTAATGTTTTGCAACCAACAGTGTTCATAACTTTGTGGTTTCATTACCATCATGTTGCGCCATGTAGTCTGGTAGAAGTTTGCTGACATTTCAAAGGTCCTTGCTGCCTACATCACTCATTGTTCTGATGATGGAACAGCAAGAACCTCTGAAACATAGGCAAACTTCTATCAGACTACATGGCGCAACAACCCAGAAGACAGCCATCTTCAGACTCACCACCATGAAAACTTGAAATTCTTTGTGCTGGTATTTGATTGTAAATAATTTGAGAGCTGTCAAAACAAAACAGTTGTTGAAGATTGCTGTCTACTGGGTTGTTGTGCTGCTTAGTCTGGTAGAAGTTTAATATTTTAGAGGTGCCTGCTACCTCCATCATCAGGGCAATGAGTCAGTTATTGTGTTCTTGATGGAGGCAGCAAACAACTCTGAAATGTCAGTAAACTTCTTTGAGACTTACAACCCAGATTATTTCTACCCTCATACTCAGTGCCACTTCAACTTGAAATCTCACGAAACTGCTGTTGGTGTCAACGGATAAGAGTTTTCCAGAGTGAACAGTGTACAAAAATTGAAATATTGGTATTTGATTGACATGATGTTTGCTGCCAACTGTAAGATGCTACCACACTTATGTTCGTTTATTAATTTTGATTTATTTGTAATGGATTTTTATCATAAAAATTTAATTTATTACATGTAAATCAAATTTGAGAAATGTAATAGAACTTATGAAATGAAAGTAACATATATTCTCCCACTCCCACCATAAAATAACTTTATAGAACATTCATAATGGCATCTTACAGTACCTCCGGCTTCCGCTCAGTCACTTGAGCTAAAAGACACAGGCACATCGCCATTTTTCAACTGCCCAATGTGTAATTATGTTTAAGATGCATGAAAACGTCAGTACTCGTCAAAGAACAGAAATATGCAACAAGTACTAGTATGGTAGTGGGAACAAATGGTTTACATTGATGCACTACAATGTGAACCATGCAGGTTGCCTGTAGAAAAAAGTAGGACAGACATGGACACCCCTATAAGGTGTTAGAGTGTGAAGAACACTTAACAAAAGAACATCGTGTGTTGAATGAAGTGGTGGTAATGAGAATTTTTTGTGATCTAGTGTGGATGTGTTTTAGTGTTTCTCACATTTTAGGTTTAATCAGAGTTGCCTTCAGTTTACACTGTTTTCTATGTGGGAAACCTCAAAATATTTCAGTCAGCAGATGGTAGGAATCTGAATGTTAATAGATGAATACAGTCAGTGTTAAGAAGCATCAACCTGTAAAGGATTAAATCTGATTTTCAGCTTAACAGAATCATAAGTATCTCTCATAGAAATCTCTAAAATGATGCGAGACCTTTTCTGAAAAACTACATACAATAAGTTCTTATCCGAAGATTTCTGTCTTCTGGGTTGTTGCGCTGTGTAGTCTAGTCGATGCTAACCAACGTCTCAGAGGTCATACTGCCTCCGTCATCAGGGTGATTCATCGCTCTGATGACCAGACTACACAGCGCAACAACCCAGAAGACAGAAATCTTCATACTCACCACTGTGAAAACCTCAAATCTTACAAGTTCTTATTCATTGCAGAGTGCTGACCAGTTTACGTGGTTCAGCCTAAAAAAAG